CTGGGTCAAAACAACCCAATTGCTGGGTTTGTCCCTATTTTACCCAGCACTGGGTTGTATTTAACCCAACATTTTTTAGAGTGTACCTACACAAACAACTCGATAGCAAGTGGCATATATTTGAAGTATTGAGGTCACACTATTTGAAGTATTTCTTTTTAAGGTTTTTAAGTATCACTGAAATGCTAATAACACAAAAGATTAACTCTGTGATAAATGGGGAAGTATCCACCTTTTCATAGCTCGAAACGCGAAGCTGGCCAATGAGTCGACAACATCCGCTTGTGCTTTTTTAAAATAAAAGCTCTCGTGCCACTGAGCAACTTTTCAAGTGCCCATAAATAGACTTAGCGCAGTATCACAGTGGAGTGAACATAACGGTTTATTTTTTTATTTTATTTGCGGATGTAAAAAATTGACACGGACTGAGAAATGAATGAGGAATGGAACTAAAACAGTGACAAAAAAAAAAAACATTTGCAAGACACTACAGGCAAAACATTATTTTTTTAATGTACTGGTCAGTTTTGAGATGGAAGTCTTTGTTTCATTGCAATTCATTTGTTTATAGCCTAAGTAGATTTTAAATACAATACATATTTCAAAAGGATTTTCCCCCTCTAAATTATGTTTATGTCATGCAACATTTTATTTCTAAAACGTTAAAAAAGGAGGTATTTCCTATTTTCCTTATTTCCTTTTTTAATTCTAGTATGTAAACAAAATGAAACAAGAATTTTGAACTGGCTTTATCCAACGGTCAGATTTATGTTTCGAAAATGTATGCTAATTTCATATTTATTTACATTTAAGATTTCAGGCAACTTCTAATACAAAAAAAATAAAACCTGCTATTTCCTAATGCAATCAATCAACTGGGGGAGTGTGGCAAAATCTTTTAGTAATGTTTGTCTTGTTCATCTGGGGCAAGTTCAAGCTCAAACCGGTGTGCAACGTTTTGCTACGGTTTCCGGTTTGAACGACATGTTTCCTGGAAACGGTGTGCAACGGGGTTTGAGATGCGTTTTCTCTTGTTTGGTGGATGTGTCAAACATGTCAGCCCAATCAGCAGCAACATGTATGTAAACAGACACACAATGCACAATGTAATTAACATCCAAATAAATTCACAAGAACAAGTAT